TAATGGCATTTCAGTTTTATCCAGCAACATTGAATATTCAGGGCCAGGAAAAAGTACCAAATTTCTTTTTAAATAACAGTTGGCATCGTTGTTTTTTTTTTTTTTCTAAATAAATCTCAGCATCATGGAGTAACATTCACTGCTTACCCACAAACTACTGATAATGAAGGCTCGCTGTCCCATCCATATTCTTCAGAGGAGACAGTAACAAACTACAGTCTGGCCCCTGTGATCACTCAGTCCCATAGCTTAGAAAATAAGTTCGCTGACAAACATAGTTGACTGTGATGTGAAAAACCAATCTTCTGCAAACTTAGCTAAAAAAAGCAATGCCTGCTTAAATTTAATAACTCTGTTGGTTACTATTTTTTTTACATTCTGAGATGCAAAACGTAAATAACCTCCAAAGTACTGTTTTCTTCACATTTACTTTTCGATGAGAGTGAATTTTCCGTAGGAAAACAGTTTCTCCTTGTATGGCAAAGTATATAGCAAGGAAAAAACGAAATATGCATTTTACTCAAGCTCAGTTTTATTAGGAACATTTGGATGTTGCAGGTCTCTATAACAAGACACCAAAGAAAATTTCCATTTCCTTTAATCTTTCTTTAAGTCAGAAATGGAAACTTTAGCATAGCTCATTTCAACAAACTAACCAAAAGCATGTGGACCTCAGATGAAATTGCTTAACTCAAAGGAAAACGTAGACGAAAATTACAGTCTTCAGAAGAAAAAATAACTAATACACATCTGAGAAAACACAAAGCCAACTAATATCATCTCTCCACAGCAATATTACTTTCTAAATTTCCATTTGAGAGACTGTGGCAAAAACGTCAAGCAGCAAAAAAAAAAGTCTACTACATTAAAAGTGCTTATGGAAAACAGGACTCAAATTATTTATGTGAACAGACAACAGATCTTTTTAAATAACTTTAAGGCACACTTACATCATTTATCAATAATTTTGTGATTTTTGGATTAATTTCATGTTCTTTCCTCACTTTCGGTTATGGTATAAACATCTGACTGTCCTGATAATAAGCATAAATCATAGTAAAATTAGGTTTCTGTACTTATATTAAAATGAGACAGAGGAAATGACAGAAAAAGCCTAAACAAAATTTGATAATAAATATCATTATACTAATGTAATTTCAGGGAAAAAAAATATAGGAAACAGCATTACTACAGCATTTGAATTTTAAAGATTTTTTACTCAATCTCTTGATAGAAGCCAATCTTCCAAACTCTGGAAGGCCATTTAAAAGTTCAATTGTGGTAAAATCACTGCACACAACTTGCATCATTTCTAATATTGCTGCTGTGGTAGTGTGTGACATTAATATATGAATATTCATTAAATGATTCCTTCATATCAGTCTGATGCCTTGTAAAAGCATTCTAACACCTCCAAAGTACACACAACAGTCTGCAACAGCCTCAGAACAATCTCTTGTTCACAGGGGTAAATACATACTCATGTGTGGTTTTTTTTCCCTTTCCTCCACAGTAAAGTATTCAACAACAACAGCAACAACAACAACTAACAGAAAGTCTTAATTCTGTTCCCTAGCCTCAGGATTTTTCCTTTTACCTCATGACCAGTTAGTGGAGATTAAAGAAACCTTCTGTTTGCAAACATTAGAAATGCAAGATTTCTCATCTTCTATACAGTGAAATCTTTCCTCCTCCATTTTCCTTACTTGCACCCACATCACTAGTAACATGGGACAGGGAAGAATATACTCCCACAACTTAACTATTAAGGTATAGTTTGGTGAGATACAGAGTTGACAGACTAGCTGAAGAGAATAGAATTTTCACTTCTTTGTTAAATTCTTGGTTGCAGCCAAAATGCACATTTATACAGAAGGACTATCTCAACGTCTTTAAATAAGTACCCTGCTCTTTAGTGATGACTTAGGAATACAACTTAAGAAAAATATGCATCCAAATCCCAGTCCCTACAGTTCTTATATGATTAAACCACAAGATTTTAAATCTTCCCCTCTTTTGCCTATTGTCTAGACTGAGCAGTTCTTCATTCATCACGTCTATCACAATGTATTCCTCCATGAAGCACCTATTTTCACCCATCCGAATTCTGCAGAGCCAGAACAGAGACTTCAGGGTTGTAATAAAATTTAAAAATCTGGACCACACTATAAACTTAATCAATTATAATTCCCAGGAATAATTTTAAAAAGATATAATTTCATTTTTAAAAGTCAGGAGAGTTTGCACATTAAAAGCTACTAAACTTTCTTACAAAGACAGCATTG